AGGTCCTGGCCCTCCAGAAGGCAACAGCCAAATAACACATACCTGGAAATCAGTAATTATGCATTTCCTGTCTGTAAGAGTGTGTGCTCAGGTGCTCTGGGCATAGGGAGAAGAGGGCTGTCAATGGACTAGGAGATGGGGAGGAAAATGATGAGCAGACAGGAAGTCAGCCGGGACTAAGCAGAGGCAACGCTACAAGAGGGAAGAGGTGGGTTTGCCAGTGAAACAAAAGATGCCTAGGAAAATTTGAATTCCAGATAAACAAGAGATATTTTGTAGTATAAAAAGGTCCCAAATATTGCATGAGATATACCTAGACTATAAATTATTCATTGCTTATCTGAAATGCAAATTATACTGGGCATTCTCTACTTCCATTTGCAAAGTCTGGGAACCCAGCCTGTAGGAGTAGGTGTGAAGGTCATGGAAGGCACTGCAAACTGAGACAAGAGCACTTGCGCATAGTGCCTGCAAACACAGGAGCAGGCAGAAGCAGGTGGGTTGGTGAGAAGAGAGGGATGGTTAGGGGGGCTGGAAGGGATGTAGGGGGACTTGGTAGATGTTTCCCCTACAGTTTGGGATTCATGAGTGTGAGGCTTTGGATTAGAGAAATAGACAATTTAATATTTCTTTATCTATTTAAAAAGTCATGTTAAAATTTGCCTTTCAGTTTTAGTTGCTCTCTTTCCGGAAGTACATAAACGTACAATTTGTGTATTTATACATAAATCATTATATCCATAGATGAATAAAAATTGCCAAGCCCAGTTTGACCAAGTGTCCCCTGCAGAGTGATATCATGTATTCTGAGAAAAAGACACAGGACTGGGACCACAGTGCTGTCACTGGCCACTGCTCATGGCCAAGGGAAGAAACTGCAGTTTCCCTCCACAGGACAGAGTGTCCTAGTGCATTGTCTCCCCTTGGTGGCTGGGTCCTAAAGAAGGGGAAGGGTCCAGCAGTTGAAGCTGGGACTCCTGGTGAGTGCCCATCAAGAATGATGCAGAGGGGATGCAGATGCCTGCAAGTGGCAGGGCTGGGAGTACTTTCTGATTCTTTAAGATTCTTCCCAGACATTTCAAAGCTCAATGGCATGTCCAGTGAGTCCTTAAAAGAGTTAGTATGTTGAGACTGCTTGCCTGAGAGATGGAAGGGAAAAAAGCTTGTCCAAGTAAGAATATTGCTAGACTTCACTATGTCTTGCATGAAATACATCTTAAACTTTTGGAACATAGCTGAAGGTCTAATTGTGAACCTCCTGTGACCTTAGACACTGACAATTCTCATCCTTCGTTTCAGCAGGGCTGCAGAACAGGCATTAGGAGTTTGGTTTTACAGGTGAGAATGCTAAGGTGAGTGGGGGGTGGGAGTGGGGGCACACTTCCTGGGGTCCCCCAGCCGGTGGGAGCAGAACCAAGGCCACATCTCATTGTTTCAACTCAACCAGAGCACTGTCTTTGGCCTTGTGCCAGACCTGCTGCCACCCGGCCCCAGGCAGGCATCCCTCTGTCCTGCTGTTGTCCTGACAGCTGATGGAACAGACGCTGAGGGTGTCTTGGGACAGAGTCCTAAAAATCACACATCACAGATTGAACAGAAGGCTCCTCCCAGCCTAGCCTTGAGCTTTCTGTGTGGAAAGAGGCTACTGGGCCCCTCAATGACACAGCCTGGCTTGACAGTGAGCTTTGTGCTGAAAAACACTGCCCTAACCCAGTGTTGTAAAGCAACAGGGTATTCACTTCTAGTTTTCAGGTATGGGTACCTGGTCATGTGGGAAAATCAGAACTGTTTTGAAATGAGAAACAAATTTAAAGCAGTATTTGCCCTGGCTCATTTCAACCATTCGATAAAGAGGGAGGAAAGAGCTGCAGGACCAGTTCTGATACAGGGAACCCTGGTTTCTGGGACCTGGGGTGAGTCAATGGCATGTTTAAAGAGCTTCAGTCCTCAAACTTTCCCCTGTGTATCCATGCATGCATGCGCATGTGTGCGCATACACACACGCACATACACATACACACATTAGAGAAAGGGTAAATGGATTTTTAAGTATAAAGGTTTGACAATGTAAAAAAGGACAAAAATACAGCACGTGCTGTCTTGGTTACTTTTCTCTGGTTGCTGAGACAAAATACTCCACACCCAAAGTTAAAGAGAGAAAGATTTACTTAGCCTACAGTTTGTTGAAGTTTCAGTCCATAATCAGCTGGCTCTAATGCAGGATGGCATGACACGGTGGTAACAGTTCACGATGGTGGAAAACAGCAAAAACAAGAGCATAAAAGGGAGAAGCAAGCCTCTTTTCCTCCCTTATAGTGTATGCAGGCTACCTTCTCTAGGGCCAGTGTAGCACTTATACCATCTCCTGTGCCCTCCTCTTGCACAAGCTGAAGATGCTTGCAAAGTGAGGATCTTGGCCCCTGCTGAGTCACTTAAATTTCTAATCTTCTCAAGTTGACACAATGAACAATATCTTAGAGGTGTGAGGGCATGTCCTTTACATGCTAGGAGGCTGAACTGCAGAGTTACTTAGTTAAGCTTCTAGACTTCTCAAGTTACACAGTGTATCTACCATTACAAGTGCCTCCTGTGTATGAGGTTCTTTCTGCTTAGTGCTGTGTCCATATGTGTACTGACCAGAAGCAACTCTGGAGTACCAGGTGTGATTCAAGGCTGTCAGTGGGACAGAGACCTAGAGTCCTTCTTTTCCTGCAGGGTGTTGCAAGGAGCCAGCCATTAACAGATTTAGAATTCAGGGTCTACTGATACTGACACAGGAGCAGAATGCCCTGGATCTGTGTCCCTGCCATAATCCTAGAGGCTCAGCAATGGAGTAGGAAGATCACTGGCAGTGAAGTACGGCCCCTGGGGGTTGGGGGTGATCAATGTCAATGTGAGGTGACCAGACACAGGCTAGGTCTTCCTCTGAATGGATTTGTGAGACTGACTCCCAACAGGGGACTTCAAGTGTTGGTGGAGATATAGTCATATGGACTAATTTCCAGAATTTTACTAAATCCTCCTACCATTTGGGAAAGTTGTGCAAATACAAGTCAGGGGTCAGCTAAGTTTGGATCCAGAAGCTAGAGAATGGTATCTACAAACACCAGTCCTTCCAAAGAGTGAGTTAGCACACACACTGGGCTTGGGACTGAGGGCCTGACCTGGGGAGGGAAAACAACCCCCTACCAAACAGCATTTCTCTCTAAATACCCCTTCAATGGAGACACACAGTTGCCTGGTCTCCTGTGGTCTATTCTCTGGGAGGAATGTCCTCGAGGCTCCTCCAGCTGAGCAGTATCAATTGTTTCCAGATTAACCCTTGGTGAACCAAAATGTTGCTCTATTCTCTGTCTCACTGCCACCACCCTGCCCCTCTGGCTTTGGGGTGGCTTTCGTGGGTCTAGAAAAGACAGAACTGTATCATCGGCCAAGTGAGTCTCTGGAGAGCTGCTCCTTGCCTGTGCAGTGGACTCACACCCTCCATGTGGGCATGACTGCTTTAAGGAAATAGCCTTGCTTCTTCAGAAACTAGTAGTTTTACTTGGAATCTCTCCATCTAGAAATTAGGCCTGCAGAGCCCGAAGCCAGCTTCCCCAGAGCTCTACAAACAAGGCACCTCGAGAGCTGAGATCCCAGGGGTGGTTCCATAGTGCTCACACATGTTTTTTTTTTTTTTTTTTTAAAGCATCTGTGCCTTCCCCCAACTCAAGCTTAGGGGCACAAACATGTGGAGCCCCAGTGCAGTATGAGCTCCTTGCAACATGTTGTCTGCAGGCTTGGGGTCATTTGTGGCCGTGTTCCCAGCTTGCAGAAGCTGGAAGCTCCTTCCCCAGGGAATGCTTGAAACACACAGTACAAAGAAAGCCCAGGAGGGAGGTGAAGAGAGGCAGTGGGTCTTCTGCTCCCAGGGCACAGATGAGACAGCTGAGCTGGTTCTGCCAATCCTGTCCCCTTGACTTCTGCCTTAGCGGGACCTTTGGTTTTGACTTGAGGTTCATTAACTGGGTCTGAAGATAGCATGTGTGCCTGAGCAATGGATTTAATATTTACATAAGCCATGCTGATAAGTGCACATGTGTTTTTAATGTTTTGGCTTTCTACATCACAAACATGTCAATGCATATAAATATGCATACACACACACACACACACACACACACACACACACACACACATGCTGTCCGCCAGACTGGGACTTGAGTTGGGACTTAAAAAACTATTTAGTAAAAATTTTTAAAGCCGTCCTCCCAAGCCTAACACCTTTCTGAGCAGTGTTTCCCATAGACCTGAACAACTTTCACCTCCTGCCTCCAGTGAGGGTGAAAGGCACCAGGTGGCTGTCACCCCGAAGAGATGTTGCATTTGAACACAGCACAGTCCCAAAGCCACCTCCCCTGTCTTTGCGGGGGCAGCAAGGGACTCGATAGCAGACAGCCCTCACTGCAGTCTTCCGTGAGCGGCAGTCTGTCTGTGTGTGGCCTCAGAGAAGAAAATTTTTGGAGCTTCACTGCTCATTTGAGCGTCGCTGCCTAAAATCAGAGAAGTGTAAAGCAGTCTTCATACTCTCAAGACTTCCTGCCGAGGACGCTCGCTCCTTCTCACATCGACCCACGCGGAACACAAGCATCCTCCTGTTCACCACCCCACTTCTACCAGCTCCCCTCTCTTTGCCCTTCCTTCCTTTCTCCTTCTCCTCTTACTCGCTTCTTTCTCGCCTTTGCTTGGAAGGGGTGTTGACCTGTGTCTACCTCTACGAGCCGAACCCCTTGCCAGGGAGGCGATTGGCTCCCTGCGCCGGTGACGGCGCGCAGCCGGGAGCTGATTGGCTGCGCGGGGAGACTCGCCCGGCCCCGCGAGGCGCCCTCGCCCGCCGAGTCCCGTTCGCTGCGCAGAGGTGTCGCACCCGCCGCACGCTGCGCCTCGGGGACACGGGACACCCTCTGGAACTCGGCGCTGTGCCCGCGGCCGACCAGGGCAGGCCCGGCCGGAGATCCGAGGAGCGCGAGGCCGCAGCCGGGCCGGGCTGGGCACGTCGTCTTTGTCCCGGAGCCTCCTGCAAGTCCGCGGCGGGACGCGCGCGCCCCGACGTCGCCGGCATGAGCAGCGGGCGTGGCGCGGGGGGCGCGCTGCTGGCCCTGGCCGCGGGGCTGCTGGCCGCGAGCTTGGCCAGCGAGTACGACTACGTGAGCTTCCAGTCGGACATCGGCGCGTACCAGAGCGGGCGCTTCTACACCAAGCCGCCGCAGTGCGTGGACATCCCGGCGGACCTGCGGCTGTGCCACAACGTGGGCTACAAGAGGATGGTGCTGCCCAACCTGCTGGAGCACGAGACCATGGCCGAAGTGAAGCAGCAGGCCAGCAGCTGGGTGCCCCTGCTCAACAAGAACTGCCACATGGGCACGCAGGTCTTCCTGTGCGCGCTCTTCGCGCCCGTGTGCCTCGACCGGCCCATCTACCCATGCCGCTGGCTCTGCGAGGCCGTGCGCGACTCCTGCGAGCCCGTCATGCAGTTCTTCGGCTTCTACTGGCCCGAGATGCTCAAGTGCGACAAGTTCCCCGAGGGAGACGTCTGCATCGCCATGAGCCCGCCCAATGCCACCGAAGCCTCGAAACCCCAAGGTAGGCGAGCCCCCGGCCCTACGCGGGCTCCCACGCGTGGCCGGACTCGCTCCCAGGCGCGCAGACCGACGCAGGCCGAGCGCAACTCCGGGTCGCGCGGCGCCTCTGCAGACCCGACCCTGCGGGGCTTGTTGGTCGGGAGCCACTGTTCTCTATCCTGTATCCCCTTTCTGTAGGAAAGCCGCGCCTTATATTACATGTCAGAGAACTCGCCTCCGTTTGGGTAGGGGACCTGCGCGTCCCGCGCCCAAGTTTTTAATTTTCCCAGACGCGGATGCTCCCGCAGGTAAAAAAACAAAAAACATAAAAACAAAAAACAAAAACCGCCAGTGTGCAAAGCTCAGCATGGCCGAGGCCAAGCCGACGCTAGGCGCGGCTTTATTTTCGTAAGGCCGGAGAGCAGCTTTTAGAAACTTTCTTTAGCTGCTCGAAACTGACCGAGAGAGGGGAAAGTTTAGACACGGTGGGGATTTCATCACCCTTTCCAGTAACAGCTCTGTGTAGGGAGCTTTGGAACTTCCTCGAATACCCGCTGCTTCTCTCATTCACACAAATCCTCAGGTAATTAGAAAGATAAAAATGTAATTAGCTCATTGTTGGTCCCCGCTGTGGGGAGTGGGCGCTGCAAATTGGGCTCTGCAAATTCCTAACCGCCCCCCGCCACCCGAGGGACCAGAGGTCCCTCTGGAATCTCCTACTCAAAGGGCAATTCTAGAGTGGCAGAAAAACACAGATCCCTGGAGACAAAAAACCAAGAGCACCCCAGCCTGGTGGCCCTATGTTCATGGGGAGGAATTCAGCCTGGAATCCCTTCAGAACAGACCTGGCCCTCCGAGATGGGCACAGGACAGAGACAGGGAGCTGTGCCCATGTGTGCTTAGCCAGGCGACCCGCAACCTGGGGGCTCGGCCAGCGGGGAGAACTGAGCTCATCTGCAAGTGCTCAGTGTCTTAACCTCTGCTACTGCTGTTAAAAGCGGAGCAACCTGTCACCACTTCCTGGAGTGAGGGTGGGACTAGCTGTGGAGAAAAGATGGCCTGAAGTTGGCACTGCTTCTCCTAGGAAGGGAGAAGGGCCCAGAGGCACAGGCACGGTGGGGCACGGGGATAGACACAGCCCCGGGTGGGTAGCGCGCACCCCTGTCTGTAGAGACCAGGCCTGGACACCTGTGCACTCAGGGTTAGCCTTCTGAGGGGCAGCACGTTGAAAGCACTCTGAGAAGGGACCCAAAGCAAAGCACTTTGTGTCCTGCTGGTATGGAATTGCAGTCTTCAGATTTCCGTCTCCCCTTCCTTAGCAGCTGGGGGTGAGTGGCTGTGCTTGGGAGGCTATGGCCAGCTCTTCTTGGGTTGAGTTCATTCCCAGTGACCTGTGATAGCCTCTTTCTGGGGCTTTTGGCTTTTGGTGGACAGAAGTAGAGACCTCTGGGGAGCAGCTTGTGGTGGGGTGGCTGAGGTCCCAGGGGAGATTGGAGGGACTGGACAGGGTGGTGCTGCTGTCCCTTGACTGCTCTCCTCTGGACCTGAGTTCAGGCCGTCCCCTGCCAAGACCAGTTCTGGTCCGAGAGAGGAAAGACGAGAGGGTCAGTCAGGAGTGGTCTTGGGAAGTGCACTCCTCTGTGATTTTGGATCCAGATTGTGTCCTGAAAGGGCACAGGTCCCTGCCCGGAACTGCAGCTCCTTCTGCGAGGGAGGCTCACGTGACATCCTTAACTACCTGGCTACTGGCAGCTGAGCCTGGAGGTGAGAGGTGGGGTGGGGGAGAAAGAGAGAGAGAGGGAGAGAGAGAGAGGGAGAGAGGGAGGAGGGGCCACTTGAGAGACTCAACACTTGCCCTCAAAGCCTCATGGCTGGGGACTCTGGAACAAGAACTAGTAGTACGCTTGAGTAACAGTGAATACAGCACCTGTGGACTGATCTTATATTCATTTACCTTTTATTCTTTTTATCTTTCAAATTAAAACTGAATTTTCAATGCAGTGTCACACCTTCCCATACTTTAGTTTCTGTTTACATACTTGGGCATGTAGAGTTTTGGGGGTACTGGCCAGCAACTTGTTATTAAGGATAAACTTGATAACGAGACAAGATCTGAAAGACGTTTTTCTCCCTATAGGCAGATGCCCAAGCCACATCAGCTTCTGTTATAGGACAGGCAATTGTTCTTTTTCCAGGAAAGTGATTTCTAAGTCTTGCACTCACATTAAACTTGTTAATTCCCAGACCAATAAATTGTTCCTCTTTCCTAACAGGTTTACTGATGTAGCACATTAGTTTAATGTTGTTGTTTAGGCATGATGTGCATTAAATCCACCCAGGTGTTTTAAAACAGTCAGAGTGTGGTGCTACAGCCTCAGCTTCCCCACTGTGCCTTCCTTAGACTCTTTCCTCGCCCATCTCTCAATCTGCTGTCCAGGGAAGACCTGCTGTGTGTGCATGTGTGCGTGTGTGTGTCTGTGTACATACATTAATTTTAGAAGCTCACTTAATTGTGATTCCAGTGTTAGGCTTTTTCTTCTAAAATATTAATAAACTACAAAACTTTGTCATTTTTGTTCATCTGCTTTCAACATTATTTTAAATACACCTTGAGACAGTGACTCAGCTCTGTTCTTCAGACTGGGTGGGCTGCTCCTGCTCAAGCAGCCCTAGGGGAGTGCTCCAAAGACACTTGAGGAGATGTAGATTAATATTGCATTACACATTCCTCTCCTTGCTCTGGTAATGCTGCTCCAGAGTCTGGCTGTAAGAAAAGTTGAGACAGGGAAAGCCATGTTGAGAAGATACACTGAGCTCCCCAAAGGGAGGTCTTTCTACTGAGAGTCCTTTAAGTCCAAATGTATAATCCAGGGGACTGGGGCAAGTGCCCTTGTGGGGTACAAAGCCTATGTATCGGGCTATGGTGAGCACGTGGAGGGGAGAGGGCCTTGGCCTTTCTGTTCTGTTGCCCTGACCTTGCTCCTTCTTGGGTTAATGTTATATATATAGAATTTTCCAATTGAGTAACTTCTACCTAAAAACATAAGTACGCATTAGAAACAACTATACAAGGAACGCCAAACAAAGCACAGTTCACTTTTGATCACACAGGGCTTCTTTTTCCTTTTTCTATCCCCATGGAATCAAGAACCATGATGGAAAATTCTGGGCAAGATTTTTCTTTGTAAGAAACATCACCTCCAGGATCCAGTCTCAAGTTCTGGGGGCAAAGCATATTTCCAACATTTGCCTCAAAGACAGTCAAGCCACCCTCTGCGTGGAGTGTGGTCTTTCTTGGGGGGATACAGTGGGCTTTGTTGATGGTGTGCAATGAGTCAGGGCTCCCTAGACCCCTCCCCTTCTCCATGGAGCGTGTTCTTGCTGCACTGAGAAACATCTGCCAGGCTGAGGACAGGTGGGAGGAGAGACTGTGTGCAGACTCAGGGGTGTGGCACCTGTGGGGCGAGCCACTGTGGCTGCAGGAATCATGCCCAGGTCAGGATTGCAGCTCTCTGCTGCTTCACCTTGAGGGGTTTTGCACATTTCAGGGTCAGAGCCATGAGGGCCCCATGGCATGCGAGGTGCTGCTGCAGAAGCCACTGGAGAGGGGCAGGCAAAGAGAAGGACAAGGAGCAGCCCTTTCCACTCCCCTTGCTTCAGCCTCAGGGGTCACTGTCCTATGCTTCTTAGCTTCAGCACAGCTCAGCTTGACCGTGTGGCAGCGGTGTGCAAGGTCCTTACAGTGTGCTGTGCCTTCCTAGATCCTCTGTGAACTGGGAGTTGTTTGCTAGGTGATGACAAAGAGGAGGAGAACAACAATCATAAGCCACTTCAGCCTTGCAGGCTTCACTGGGCGCTTCCCCCTGCCCTTCCAGCTCAGACACTGCTGGTCCTGGCCTCAGAGGTCTCCTGTCCTGGGGCCCAGCCCTCCCAGGGGCCTGCCTGCCCCATAGCCCTCCTCTTCAAAGGCTTCACAGTCCCTCATGAAAGACCCTCAGAGGGTGCTTCCCCAGCCAGCTTCCTCCTCCTTTTGGCGACTCCTGCCCTGCCTCCCCACCCCCACCCAGCTGCTTTACTTCTGGAGCTCCTCCTGCAGCAGCCAGGCCTATGGAGAGGAGAGGATGTCCAGAGCTCTGCAGCCAAGCTCCTAAGAGCTGGTCACCTGGCTGGGCTGTCTTCTTGGGAGTTTGCACATTGGAAGGGGGCAGGAATCAGAGGGGGGTATTTAAAGGATGGGGGAAAGGATCAGAAGCAAATGACTGAAATAGTCTTGTTTTGATTTATTAGCCAGATTTTTACAGGGTTTCCCAGCACCCCTTAAACCATGTTTCCCAGGACCCACCTGAACCTACCTTGGACAGCATTAGTCTAAATGTGTCACTTTCAGCATCTTTAGACCAAAATATTTAAAGAAATGATATGCCTATTTATGTCTTAGATCCTGGGTTCTACGGCCCTTCTTTTCAGATCTCAGGTCACCCTTCAGAAATTTCAGAAGACCTTATCTGCTGTCAGCCAGCTATCCACACTGATCTCCTCCTCAGGGGAACCCCTAATTTACAGCTTGTATTTTTTTCCCCCTTTCCCTTCCTAGGAACAACTGTGTGTCCTCCGTGTGACAACGAATTGAAATCTGAGGCCATTATTGAACATCTCTGTGCAAGCGAGTTTGGTAAGAAAGTGTTCCTGGCCACCTTTGGAGGGTTTGAAATCCCTGTCTCCTGCTGGCCGGTGTCCCCAGGGACAGAAAGTCTGTGGGTACATCTCCTTGGAACTTTACATTTTCCACCTCCATCTTCTCCTGAGGGCTGCCTGTCCCAGGCAGGTAGAAGACAGCTCAAACTGCTTCTGCCTTCTGCCTGAGGGGGTGTCACTGTACAGATTTGGGGTGTTTTCTCTGAGGCTGGAATGGGAACAGCCAGGGAGGAGCCAGAGGAGCTGCAGTGTTGAGGGGGAAGTCAGCCTCCCTCATCTGCTCCCTCTCTGCAGCCTGCAGCTCCAGCCGCTCTCCAGATACATGGATGACTCTTTCTAGATCCACCCCTAGGTGTCAGCACTACTCTACCCAGCATTTCAGTGGGTGACTATGGGGTGCTTTGCTAAGAGGGAGGAAATTTCAGAGCTTAGAGGATATAGTGGAGGCCCCTAGGCAGGTTCTCCAGACAATGCAAATTGACTTTCCTAGGAAGGTGTGCTTTCTCTCCCTACCCAAATCACTCTGGGTTGAGGTAGATTTCTGAACCAGCACTCTAGGGTCAAGGCTGAGCATGGCCTTGCTGAGATCATGTGACACTGTGCACCCACAGACACTGTACAGCAAGAGACCTTTCAGCCTGGGGCACCGCCATGGACTAAGAAGCCAATATGGGTAACACTCAGTCGATGGAAGGGCAGGCAGACTCGGCATGGATCCTGGCAGGTGTCCTCTATAATTCTACCGGAGTACATTTAGAAGGGCCACAAGAAGAGTGTGACTCAAACACAATCAGCAAAATGTACAGGAAAACGGTCTTTTCTTGGAGGTGCCACTGTCCTTCCCCGAGAATGAGGGAGGCAGGTAGGGACACCGGTTGTCGAAATAAAAACCACAAGAAAAAACAAACCCCAGGAACCCCCAGGGAAAGAACTGCACAAATTCGCCACGGGTAACTCGTACACAACAGAAGACACACGGAGCAACAACCCCCCACCACCCACACGGGCTCCGCCCCCAACTAGCACAGAGCTCGAGACACAGCAACACAACGCACAAGCAACCAAAAGAAAGGCTCAGCAACAGACAGAAAAACGCCCGGCACCTAACTCCAGCATTATCCCCCTAAAAATGCAGTAAGAAAACAAACCTCACCAACAAAAGCAAAAAAGTAGGAAAAACAAATCGTGCAGCATCAGCACAACCCCGCCCCCGCACACACAAGCACCGGCCAGAAAACCCACACAAAACCCTGAGAGAAGAAGGAACAGAAAAGGGAAGAGCAAGAAAAAGCCGCACCACACCAACCGCACCCAGAGAAAAGACACAAAAGGACAAGCCAGACACGACAGCACCGAAAACGCCACAAGAGTGGACGGTTCTCGTGGTTTTTATTTCGACAACCGGTGTCCCTACCTGCCTCCCTCATTCTCGGGGAAGGACAGTGGCACCTCCAAGAAAAGACCGTTTTCCTGTACATTTTGCTGATTGTGTTTGAGTCACACTCTTCTTGTGGCCCTTCTAAATGTACTCCGGTAGAATTATAGAGGACACCTGCCAGGATCCATGCCGAGTCTGCCTGCCCTTCCATCGACTGAGTGTTACCCATATTGGCTTCTTAGTCCATGGCGGTGCCCCAGGCTGAAAGGTCTCTTGCTGTACAGTGTCTGTGGGTGCACAGTGTCACATGATCTCAGCAGCAAGCTTTTCAACCACAAAGATGCACTTGGTTCCTTCCTAAAGGTACATTTAGGTGTAGGAAAAATAATGACATGCATAAACTCTCTGAGGCATCCTGATAGGACTTTTACTGTGTGGCAGGACAGGAAAAATTGGCTTAGTGGCAGCCAACATCCCAAAGGATTCTCAGAAAGGCTAGTGAAGGTGCTGCCACCCTCTTCAGATGTGGTAAATCATAATAATCACTTTTAGAAGTTGCTCCCCAACATTTCGTAAATCCATGGAATATAAGAGTATACTCTGAAATGTACGATGTTAGTAGATAGCTCTGTTTGTATGATTTCATCAGTGAAGAGTGATAGAAGCTCCGAGATTGAGCACAGAGGGGTAACTGGTGGGAGCTGTCCTCCCAAAGATCTCAAAATTCAGTATATTTGGTAATTTGTATGTATATGTCCTTACAGTCAGTATTTATGGCGTACAAGCCACTGTGCTAGACATCATAATCCAAAAATACCTACTTAGCCTAAATGACAATTTAAATTTTAGATTTTAAATATCTGGACCAATCACTGATCAATGATTTGCTAGAGAATCATGAAGCCTGATTGTAATGGGGCTGTGGGAACTCAAGGCCAAAGTTAAAAGTTGAAAAAGAGTGGATCCCCGTTTTTGTGCTCAGAATCTGTCTGAAATGCTGCAGCCCCAAATCATCACAGGTGTTTTTGCTGCTCTCTCAGGTGCTCACCAGAATTCTGGTACCCCAGACACAGGCTCTGGTTAAGCTGAGCACATGCCCTAGGCATGGTCTGAAGAGGCAAGTCTTGGGAGAGAATTGGATTGTGGCGAGGCTGACATTGTATAAAGCAGGCAAAGGTCCTTAGGATCCTGTGACCTCTCAGCTGTAGTGGATGCCCTTTCCCTGCTGCAGTAGGTGCCTGCTATACCGTCAGTAAGTCCCCAGTGTGCTGCTTATGGAGAGGAGGCTGGAAATAACTGATCAGGTTAATGAATCGGAGTGATTACCTGTTTGGAGTTGTGGTCCTTTAGCCTGAGGTGATATTCTTCTTGGGTTCGTAGAACTTCTGAGTTCATCTAGAACCTTCAAGGTCACCTTAGCAAGCCCTGTCTTCTGGTAAATAAGGAATCTGACTTTCCCAACTGGAGTTCTTCTACTCACAAGGTGGTGCACAGTTGGTGCTTTGTTATTGAGATGTTGATGTGTGCATTGCAAGTAGGGCAGATGCCAGACTTCTTTGATCAGGGTGAAGGAGAGACTCTGTTTTTGGTTTTTGTTTGTAATGTTCTTGTGAAACAATAAATAGGATCCCCACCTGCCCTTCGCAGGGGCTGAGCTTAGCTTTGCCCTTCTTAGCACCCTGGAGAATGCAGCCTTGTTGAGAAACTTGTTTCCTAGCTCATTTCATTTCACGTAAGTGAGGCAGTCAGCCACACTGATGGGATTCCGTTAGGAAACAAAGACATTTGACAATGTGAGCTGACGCACAGCAGAGAAAAGAAGGAATGTCTGACTCTGCACCCCAGGGATCAAACTTTGCGTTAAGTGGTCCTGACGTCCTGGTGGGAAGACATCAGGTTGCTGGAAGGCTTCTCTGAGCTCTGCAAACAAGCTCTGCATTTTCTGGGTCAGCACGCACACTCACCCTGCTGCCAAAGCATCCTTGGACTTCTGCAGCCTCTGTGGAGCTGGGCATGCTCAGCCCATTACCTTCTCCTCCAGCAATGCATTTATAACTCTCTCTGTCAGCTCTGCCTGGCCATTCGTCTCTCCACCCCTGCACTGTACCTCCTCAGTTCAGCACACATTTTTTTTCCCCAACAGGGAAAAACATCAGCAGAAAAGCCTGTGTGCTAATGCTCAGGAATGCAGCTGGATCAGCCTGGATCAAGCACCAGATGTGGGAAGCCAAAAGTTAGATGGCGCAGTCTCCAAATACAACATGGCAGCCAGTTTGCTTGCTGTGCTTCAGTCAGGATGCACTGCTCTGCTTTCTGTTTCCTGTGCTGTCTTTGCTAGATGACAACAGGGTACTCCTCTTGCCCTTTCAGCCACCCAGCTAGCATTTGCCAGCCTCCACGCTAATAATCTTACTGTTAACAACTCAGTGCCCCAGCCATCTTTCGTCAGGTCGGTTTGTTTCAGGGATCTGAGGATCTGACTTGTTATTGCTATGAGGTCGGTATCCCCAACTCTGGTCATTTTCTTGAGCTTTTTGTCCCCCATATCTGTGAACCCCTTTAAGTTTTTCTGCCAGAAGCTTGCATAGTGATATCTAGTACTTTTGTTAAAATAGTTCCAAGCTTCCTCTGTTCTCAGTCCTTGAGATTTTTTAGCTTGAGAATTCAGATGGCAACTTCCTTGGCCTCCCCTGTTCCCCATCCTTTTTATTTTCTGGCTGTGGAAAAAGACTTCTTTGCCCAGAAATTTTCCTTGCTTTCTGGAAGGATTTTTGTTTGTTTGTTTGTTTATGCATTTGCTTGTAAAGACAAAAAATTGTGCTTTGCAATGTTAAAATTAGCGAAATAAGAAAGAAGAAGAAAATCAGCTCTCATAGTTCGTGTTAAGAGTATTTTGTAAAAGAGATGTTTTCTGGGGTTCTTGGACTGCACCATCTGCTGTCTGACTCATGCACGCATCTTCTAAGGTGTCTTAGTTGAGAAGGACATGCATAAACTGCAAGGCAGTTTGCCGTCTTGCAGAAAGTAGACTTAACCTTCCAAACCAAACCTTGGGTTTCCTCCTGAAGATGAGGAAGACCAGCTGCCAGGACAGTAACTGCAGCATCTGTAAGCTGCTTGAGAGTAGAGCCTGTGCCTGGTGCTGTATTTTATCTACTGTAAGATGCCTGTTAATTGTGAGGTGCTCTGTTCATTTTGCACCACCAACAGAGAACACACCTTGTGCTAAGAGGTGAAGAAAATCCCAGTCCTCGAGTGGATAAAGTAAGGCCTGTTTGTACTCAGACAGTCCCTGGCATAGCATCTCATATATGGTTGGCAGAAAATAAAGGTTTGTTGCTGAATGTGTGAACGACAGAGGATGGTGAGGATCTGGACACTGGACTTCCTTGTTTATAAAGTAGAGTGCTTCTTTCCAAGCCAATGTGTGCAACATGTTTATTGAATTCAAGTAAAACTACATACCCTGTTTGGGGCAACTGTCTGTGTGCATATTTTAAAAAGAGCCCTAATATCCAGAAATCTAGTTTGGTCAAAGTAAAATTAAATAGACCTAATGCATTAATATTATCCCTTAGTTACTGCAGACTCATAAGGCC